TGTGAGTTTCATTATAATTAGACAAGAAACAGAATAACTATTGGATAGATTCATTCATAGAAAGTGCTACTTGACTCTTGGGCTTCTTGGGAAACAACTGAAAGGCTGATACACTAGCGAGACTTAAAGGCTCTGCGCAGAAGAGGCGTATGAGGACTGCAGGGACATGAAGCTGCCTCGTTACAACAGTTCTCTCGTGAGCTATTAGATACCTTTTCCTTTCGGCAAATGATGACACCGCATGGGGCAGGTCCCAAATATGCCTCGAGCTTAGTGCAACGTCTCAAAGACCAACTGGCTTATTCTCCTTGGCGCTGTTGCCCGAAGCAATCATCCAGAAATAGTTGGTGTCAACAGCATGTCCCATTGCGTTGGTTTTCAGCATTGTCCTGCTTATCCAAACAATATTAAGAGAGGAAAGAGGATAAAGGTATCTCTGAGTGGGACACAGAGTTAATTACCAAGCATGGATTCAACATGGGACAGCTGAAATCTTCCTTGAGCAAATCACTGAGTCACTCTGTGCCTCAGTAGCTTTATCTTAAAATGGAGTTCCTAATAAAAACCCAATCAAACATGAGCGTTACTTAACACGTGGCCAACAGTCATACCTAGAACTGAGCAACTTCCACTTCAGTAAAGCCATAATATCTTTTTAAACTGACTTCAATCGGTATACGATGCTCCAGTCTGTAACTGTTACCTTTCAGAAAATTGAAGAAGTCAGGCAGGGAAATTTTGCAACTAAGACTGAAGAAGCTTTGTGAAACCCATTTGCTCACTCTGATGAGCAGAAAAGCAAGAAATATTCCCAGCTTAATCTTTCCTCTTTTCAATGCCATGGATTTTCAAGACATTAAAGCCTGGCAAAGGAAAATGTTCTTTTACACAGTACATAATTTATCCTTGGACTTGGCAGAGGAAAATTAAAAAAAAAAAAAAAAAGACGACACATTTATTCGAATAATGGGCAGATCTTAAGTATCTGGGATTTGAATAATCTTGCAGAGTACGTGAAGCCCCCAAACCATGAGACAGTAAATCTGAATGAACATTAACTGTGGAAACTGGACTATTGAACTTTCCCTGCCCTGTGAGGAAGAGAGATTGGTTATCTGCCTAGCCTCAACCTGTGTGAATTAAAAGTCATCTATATGATGCTCCAGCTCTCAGTTCTTTGCAGCAGAGACTATCTGCTCCACTAAAGATGGAAATCTTGGCTGTCTTTTTCAACAGAAAATACTGAACAGAGAGGACAGTGGGATGTCATATGTGTCCCTCAAAGATTTCAGTCAGGACGTATCAATTGACAGGTCAGTGTGGTCCATTGGATGTGGCTTTGAGGAGAAAAACCATGGCACTCCACTGCATTCTTACTTCCCATCTGACCATCTTCTGCTCTCTGCTCTGTGCTCTTACGGTACTTCACACAACAGAGTCCTGATCGTAGAAAGATTTTATATGTGATGATGATCGATGGCAAGCCCCTGGGAAATCTCTTGTTCTGCTAGTGCTTTTTAGATAGACAGATACAATCAGCCTCTGTGGCTGCAACTGTTGTACCACTGCCAAGTTCACTTTAAATAACAGAAAAATGTGGGCTGCTTAAATCTGCCCTCCTTTTTTTTTTTTTTTTTTTTTTAATTCTTCTTCCTAGAGCTCCTTCTATGGTTTTTGGGACTTGTCAGTCTAAATGTCCATCAAGATGCCAAGTGCCTATGACCCTGCTTGCAACAAGGGAACAGGGCAGTTTTCATGCAGAAATTCTCCGAGTAAGCCAAACAAATTATGTATTTGTTTTTGCTGGCAAATGTGACAGCAGCAGAGGTGTGGCTGGGACCAAGCTCGCCTGACGCTGAGGTCCAAGTGCTTTTCAGAGTCACTGGACAGAGAGAGGTCCTTTAGCATCTGTTTGATGACAGAAAAAAAGGGTCAAGATGAGACCACAAGACTTCATTATTCTAACCTTTCTCTCTCACAAGCAGGAGCGCTGTGCCACAAAGGTGACTATCCATGCTTGTCTATCCAGACGTTGCCACCAGCATGGTGACTTATTTATCCTCATTTTACAGATTCAGATTATATTGCTACTTCAGAACTGCTCTGGAATTAAGTGACTAATCCATTTGTGTCAGCCTATGTGTAGCTCCACAACAACCCCTTGCCTGACACCATGACACCTCAACAAATCTAAAATTACTGGAGAGACCCTGTGTAAATGTCCCAGCTCCAAAGGAGAGATGGCACAAATGCCCTTATTGGTTTAGGTTATAAAATAAGTATATAGATAGAGTTGGGCAGCAAGTCTGTGTAGTGAAGATTTCAAATCTTGCTAGTCTTGTTCAATTTAATGGGTGTTTTTCAAAATGATTCAGACTTCTGGTTTTGTTCAAGTAAATGTCCCACGTATTTGAACCCTGTGAGACTGAAAACCTCGGCCATAAGTCTCATGTGACTTTCTTATGAGATTTCCAGCTTTTCTGCTTCTGCTCTTGGCTTGAAGTACCATGAGAATATTTTTTTCATAATATTTCAACAGGTCTAGTTTCAAATTCTAGACTTTATTAAAAAACCCTAAGAAAAGCTTTAAGGGTGGGGTGGCTTTCCTATTTAAACTAAAAATGGGATAATGCTTCAGATTTGCTGTCCATGAGTGCATGTTTTTGGAAATAAATAAGGGTTTGGGTCCAGCGATTTGATTTGAGTTCTTCTCTAATTTTAACCTGTTTGGAACGTTCTGTATCTTTCTTATGCAGCATTCATGTGGGAGAACAAATAACTGTTTCCTTCAGCTAATCAGCTAAGTTAGATATTTCACTTTCCAAATATAAGAAGAGGTAGACAGTGCCATTCACTGGCCCACCAAACACAATAACACCTTAATGGTCTTGAAAAACACTGTGCTTCCAAATTCATAGACTCATAGAATGGTTTGGGTTGGAAGGGACCTTAAAGACCATCTAGTTCCAACCCCCTGCCGTGGGCGAGGACCCCTTCCACCAGCCCAGGTTGCTCCAAGCCCCATCCAACCTGGCCTTGGACACTGCCAGGGATGGGGCAGCCACAACCTCCCTGGGCAACCTCTTCTGGGGCCTCACCACCCTCACTGGGAAGAACTTCTTCCTTACATCTAACCTAAATCTCCCCTCTTTCAGTTTAAAGCCATAATCTCATTGGTGCATAAATGAAAGACTCCAAAGACTGAAATTCTCTTGGCATTGGGGACTTAATACTGAATGAGAGATGAATAAACAAGATTCCTCATCAGTAATATCAAGGTGTCCTTTCAAGGTCCTATCCTGTAAAAGCTAACCTTATCTTAAGCCCTTTCCATTTTCAAGCCAGTAGATATTCAGCACGGGAGCTGACATTGAGCTATGAGTAAAGGCTTATGTGTTGTTTCAAGAAGCTGCATTCTTACTTGGCAGGCTCAGGAGGAGTTATGTCAAAAGCTGCTTATTTCTAATATTGTACAGAGAATTCCTCCCACTATTTCTTCCAGATGCTGAACAGCTCATTTATTTATTTATTTGGATTAGCTATATTAAAATATAACATGCTTCCAAATGCTTTTCTCCCAAATTCCCAAAGGATGGCCCTTTCTCATGGGGATGTACGTCCTTAAGCCATTTAACATGCTAAACTCCCACTGCTCAGAACAAGGGTAAAGTTCCTGACTCCAGGGTACCCAGGATCTCATAGAAAGCTTAGAGCACTTGGTTTTGAAGGAGTTAGAAGAGGAATGTAGCATAACACCAGGCAGGGAGACAGCAAAACGTCTGCAGCGTTTCCAGTGACTGTGGCACTGATCTGACTAGCAAGCACCTGAGCAAGGAGTTACTGAGTCTTTAAGCAGATACCTGCTGGACTCAGAACAAGGAAAACAAATGGATGGGTGAAAGCAACCTCTCTGAGCCTTATTTGATGACTTACCTAGTTTTGAATTTTACTAGACCTGCATCAAAGCACAGAGACCTTCCAAACAAACCTAGGATGCATGCAAATTGTCATTTGGTTTTGTTTGGAGATTTGGGAGGTTGTTTGTACAAAAAAGAAGAGTCCTCGTTGGTCTCTGAAGCTAGGTGGAGTGCAGCCACTTGGATCAAGTTTCCCTTGGCAATGGAGTTTACTGAAATCCACAGCACAAAGGGAAACTTAGAGTGATTCCAAGCAGGGCAAGAGCCAAGAAAGTGATTTTGCTGTGCCCTGTGAGCTGAAGTGACTGCTTTTCCAGACAGGTTGAGGACAAGCAGCTTTGCGGGCATTAGAGAAGACCAATTCCCCATCTGGTGCAGCCCAGGGATGAGGACCAATGAGGCTGCCCAGCTGAAGATGCAAATCCAAAGAGCTGCCTGGTCTCTTCAACAAGGTGTGCAGGACCTCACCAAGCCAGGACCTGGACATGAACAAAAGAGGCAAGACATGGTAGGAAAACATTCTTGTCCACAGTCCCTTAATGAAAAGTAAGCAGAGATCTGTAAACACTGTCCCAAGACCTGAGCCTCCCAACCTCAGCTCTCCTGGCTGTTGAATCGAGGTTTAGCTTTTTTTGGGGGGGGCAGAATCACAAAATGGCTCTAAATGTGGAGCTGTCTGAAGGTATCCATGCTGAAATCAGCACGGGGTCTTTGTAGTTTGCTCTTTCTCCCCCATTGCACCTAAATCAGAGCAGTAGGAAATTTGAAACAGGGGAATACAGTGAAAAAGAAAGCCTTTAAATGTCAGGCAAATGACTTGCAGAGGCCAGTCGCTCGGAAGACCGCAGGGTGCTCACCATCCACTGAAGCTGTTCATTGTCTTTAAGGGGCTTCGTTCAGGCTACCAGCACTCAAAGACATCACTCCTCAAAAGATTTGGCGCGGATTTACAGTATGCTGTTTGTTTCACCTGGATCCTTCCAACTGTTGGAGCATCTACTTCTACTTCCCGATAAAAAGAGCAACATCCCATTAGCAGAGCCACGAGTTTGCCAGCCTGTGCTGCTAGGCACATTCAGTCCTTTAGACGTCCTCCCCGTTTTCACTGAGGGAGATGGTGTGTATTTTGATGGTTGGCACTTTACAGTTTTCATGGGCGAGGTTCCCCGAAGTGCCTGCACAGCAGCATTCCTGGAGGAAACCTTTACTTTTCGCTTTGGCAGCAGTACAGTCTTTAGAAACTGCATTTTTTGCAGGCATGCTTTGCACAGCGGAGAATATCTTCCATTCGCAGACCCCATCCGACTTGGAAATCTTATAAAAGGTTTCTCCCGAACCGACAGGGATACGGACCACACCTTTGCTGCTCTCCATGCTTTGGCTAGTGGGATGGTTGAGGTTGAAACTTGGGGATTGCTTCTTTGCTGCTTGCTTCCTTGGGAGGCACTGGACTCTCAGGACGTTTTGGAATGCTTTCTTAAACTCTTGACTTGAGCACGGATAGATTATGGGGTTGATGCAGCTGTTTAAATATCCAAGCCAAAACGTTATTTTAAAAAGCGTGTCCGGGGGTTTGATTGCAGGAAAGAAGGAGCCTAAAATAGAAAATACACAGAGTGTTAAGGCAGAGGCAGTGAGAAATTACAGGTAACCAAAGAAACTGAAACACTGGAAAAAATAAATAAGATTCTGTTCTGTCTTGGAAAATTTATGACTCGAAGCCCAATTCCTGCAGGAACAAGTCTTTCAGAATATATGGTGTCATACAATTACATGGATGTTCTATCAGAAATCAATTCAAGACATCTGCTTTATAATACAAGCGTTGTATTCCCATTTACAGCCAGAGAGGCAAGCAGGAGGATGGATATCAAGTAATAGAGGAAAATTGCTTACTCTGGGACTTCTAATTCAAGATTAGCTAGCCAAATAACAGTCATATCTAGGAGGTCATCAAAAGGGGTTTCAAATGGCAAGACAATCACACCATTTCAGAAGTCAGAGTAAGTGAAAAGTAGGATTGCTGAGTTGACTGCCTTCCAGCTAAAAGTCTTCAAAATGACAAAGTATTGGGTACTCATTTTCCCTTGAAACCTTTAGAAAAACTAACTATCCACATTTTTCTGTCTCATAGAATGCATCTAAAATTCAGAGAAGTTAAAGGAAAGGTTCCTTCCTACTTCAAGGAACACTGGAGAGTGTTTCATGGGCAGCCATGAGATATTTATATATACGCACCTTATATACTTGCAAGTTTACCTCTCGGAGATGATTCAAAGAGCAAGAACTTAGATGGCTCCTTAGTAAGGAAAGGACTATGGGGCTTTTTATCCTATAGAAGGCAGGATAACATTCAGAAAATTTGGAATCTTTTGACAAAGCTTATTCAGCGTATCAGTGACAGAATCATAAACTGTGCATTCATTAGTCCTCAATGTCTTGGCACAACAACAGCCAGCTAGAAGTGACCATGTGAATTGAAAATTAAATAGCATTGCTAATACCGTTTTTAAAAAATACATTATGATATACGATAACATAGGATTTAATTATGAGTTATCTGCTGCTTTAAAATCTTGGCAACATTTTTCCTAATGCCAAAGCTTTGTTTTTTTGTTTAACTACAACTTGAGCTACTTACTGCTTGTACAAGCAAGTTTTTAACTTTAAATGATTTGAATAGGATGTCAGTAAATGCTTTAGAGATTTACTCATGGGGAGATGTTATTATAAAGCTATAGAGACATATTTAAAGATATCAAAGAGTCAACAATGCTGCTTATGGAGAATTGTTTAGAAACTTGTTGCTTTTCTTGAATGACACTGGAAAATGGCCGTTGTAACAAGATCCTGTAATTCTCCTATTTGGTACTTCTCTTTGCTTAGGAGTAAAACCAATATTGTCTGAAAGTGAGTGAAGCAGAAAACTAAACTCTGTGTGATGCGGGGGTGGGAATAAGTGATAACAGCACTTCTAAGACCAATTTTGTAAAATGAATGTAAAACCAGAGAAAGAGAAAAATATTTGCCATATGTTGTCAAGGCGAAAGGCTGTTTCTTGCCTCCTTTAAAAGAAAGGGGGGAAAAGTGGTTCTATCATACCAATGTCAGTAATTACTTTGGGCACAGGAAGAAAAATAATTTCTCAGAAAACATAATTGGCTTCTTTTGGACTTTATAGTCAAGTTTATAATCAACAGAACTTTCAACACTGACAAATGCTTGTCTTCCTGCTTCCCCCCGGACACATTGTAAGCTTGTGCATGTTGAAAAAAATACTGTGGAAGATTTAGGCATCGATGCGTTTGTCAGCCTCTGCAGTTCAACTACGTCTCTAAGCAGCTCCTAAGCTTTACAGGGATCGATCTGTTTGTTGGACCTCCCCTGACTTAGGAAAAGCTAATAATGCAATCAGAGGGTGTTCTAATTTAATTCTGAGAGTTGCTGAACTTTGGTTTGACTCTTTTTTTCTTCCCATCTTTGTCAAACAAAGCTACACCAAGTGCAGCAAATGCTTTCAAGCGGCAAAAGCCGGAGAGGAATTCTCAGGGTGGTTTTGCCGGTGTGAGAAGGTGTCAAAATACTGCCCGAACCAGAGACACCAACAGCGTGGTGTGATTAACGACCTGCTCGTTCTGCTGAACACCAGCTCCGCTGTGAAATGCGAAGCGATGCCTTCTCGCCGTGGCACCAGCTCCCACCCTCCGAGAGGAGCCGGCGGGCGCAGAGGACGCGCCGCTGCCAGGGGAGAAATGGGAGACGTGGGAGGGTGAGGAGCCTTCCCGTTCCCTCTGATTTGGGACAGGTCTGGGCCGTCTGATCTGGGAGAGGTCCCCTAAGATCCGGGCCGTCCAGTGTACGGCGGAGCAGCAGAGAGGTGAGGCTGAGTCAGGACACCCAAAGGCAGCGCAGAACACGCCGCAGGATCTTGCTCTTTGTGTTGGAGCCGCTGAACCTCCGATTCCAACCCCAGTTACAACCTGGGCACCAAGCATGACTCTCGCTGCCTCCGTGCTTGCTTCGGCGCTGCTCCAAGCTAGCTAGGTAGAGCAGTTTCACTCTCAACCAGATTTAAGACCAAAAATGTTGTGCTAAAGAAAGCAAATGCTGCTTTGCAGTTAAGCATGAGTGAGCAGGCATATCCGCGACCTAGAATTTTTTCTCAGCAAATTAATGCTGCTTTCCTTTAGTGAAAAACAACTAAATAACGTTCTGCAAGAACTTTCTGGCTGAAGTCATTGGCAGATGAAAAATAATGAAAGGCTTCTAAATGCCCAAATCATGCTCAATTTTTTCTTTTATCTCCTCATTGAATTGCACCATATCTACCGCTTTCCCGTTTGGTGTTAAGACAAAAGGTGAAATGAATCTCGGTTTAGGGAATCAGCTGTGTGAGGCTGAGTGTAAAAATGGGTAAACAATAACAATTCCTGTTTGCTGCAACTTCTGGCTCACTCTAAATGGAATGCTAGTGCCTTGCCAAAGTCTGTTAAAAATAGAAAATAGCCAGTGTCAGAGTCTGTCTCTTGCTCTTTTTTTGGGGTGGGGATCTGCATGCTAATTTATTAATGTAACCTTTTTTGGTTCATCAGCGTAGAGACTTATTGCCTTGGAACAACACACAGGGAAAACAAAATGAAGTATCTTTAACAGCATACGAACTTTGCTGTCTGTAGACCCCATCACATGCTGTCTTTAACACTTTCTTTCCAGTGGTGGATACAACTTGGGCTTTAGGACAGTAGCTTTGCTCTGCTGTGCATTTGGTTGTGCCAGTCAGTGATGTTTCATAAGTTTAGACCAGCTAAAGCTCTGTCTCCAGGCTCCTATAACTGTGTGTTGTCCTGTGAATGAAACAGTACAAAAGTCAATAGGAAGAAATATTGTCAGCAGCATCTTGAAAGGGCTGAGGTTGGAACTGACCATTGGGTCAATGCACCTAATATGTAACAGAGCTAGATGTAAAATCAAAGTAGAAATAATTTGGACCCTCTTCTTACTTATGCTGACAGCTTATTCAACTTCCAGAGCAATATAAATCAAGATCAGCATGTTTAAACTTTGAGGCGTTGAATTATTGTGTAGGGTGCAAAAAAATATTTCACCTCCTGCATCTTCTGTGTCTAATGAGCAAAATCCTCCTGTGTGTTGCAGGACTGCTGTGAGGAACTATTGACATGTCAGCATTTGCTTAGTGCCTCTATAGAAGCGTGATGTCCGATACAAAGGGCCGCAGAAAGCAATGCCCTTCTATTGCAGACACCTGGTTAGCTCTGTAGTTCAGAAACTTGCCCTAATCTTTTCTGTTGGCTACCTGAGTATTTGGCAAAAGGGGAAAAACAGCATATTCTCCAAGTCAGTGAGGAATCGTGTTCCTCCCCACAGAATACTAAGAATGTATTCTTTTATTCCAGGCCTTTAATATTCAGTGATGTTGCTGTCACGATTAATATCAGTGGTTGATGTATCTAGTAGCAAGCAGGAGTAATTTTCAAACAGTGCTGCTAAGCCTGGGGATAAGTGTTTTGTTCAGTGTGCTGAAACATTGAAACGGGCAGTGGCTGGCAGCTCAGGTCAGAAGAGTTCAAAGTAGAAATAAAACATAGGTTTTGTGGTTTTTTTTTAAACAAGGACCTTAATTAACCATGAGATTAAACAACGAAGCGGAGTGGTGAATTCTCTCTTCTCTAAGGTATACGTTATAAGACGGACTGTTTCCTACGTAGCAGCGAGGCAGGACAGAACCCAGGTGGAAGTGGGGCAAGCAGTTCAGAGTCCGTGTCCAGTCAATCCTTGACCACTCGGCAATTAGCTGCCAATTAGTGTCCACTCGGGTTTGGGCACTTGCCTACTAGCAGCCAAGACTGAGAAAAAAGAATTATTATAGCACCTAATTTGCCAGAGCAAGCTTTTCCAATTCCCTCACTCTAGGCTAGGTGTAATCATAGATTAATAAAGTGCTGCCATCCAGGTATCCTCTAATAGAGCTGGACAGTGAGCAGCAGTTGAGAAGTGAGAAGTTTTCTTTCTTAAAACTAATTCTCTATCCTATTCACAGGCCTTAAATTCTTCCCCAGGACCCTGTCAGGAATAAAATGGTAAATAGTTGCAAAACTGATTACAGTTTAGAGGCTTCATCTTATATGAACAGCAGTCTGTGCTGGAGGAACAGTAAAGAAAATTTAACTGATCTTTTAATGCCTTTGAATTGTAGACTGACTAAACAACATTTGAATTCCTGCTTTGTTTTCAAAAGGTTGAGGACTCTCAAGTGTCAGTAGCACAATTCAATTGCTTGTTATAAGAAAATTAAATAAAATAAAATGTACTATTAGCCTCCTGAGATCCTTCGCCATTAAGTATTTCATCACTCACCCCTGAAATGTCAGGACTGCATTCCCTTCCCTCATCATTTATTTCCCTGTTTGTCAACTCAAAGTTTCTCCAGATCTGAGAGATAAGTTTTCCATGTACCTCCTGGTGAGTAAGTGCCAATTCAGTCACAAAGATGTAATTTGACTTTGTCATTTGTCAGAAGTTAGAGAGCTGCTTGATTATAGGTTGTTTAAAAACCAGTACTGATGTTGCGCATCGT